AATAAATCTTAAAAAAAAGAAGGCACTACAACTTCCCAGATGGTTCAGTGGGTACCGATGCTTGCCACACAAGCCTGCTGACTTGAGTTCAATCCCCAGAAGCCACATAAAGCTGAAGAGGAGAGAACCCACTGCAAAAAGTTGTCCTCTGACCTCCATATGAAAGTCATGGCACAGGTTCTCACACAACATGTACATATATACAATAATAAGTTGCTTTTTAATTAAAATGGGAGAAAAAAAGAAATCCACTCATCAACACCCAAAACCAGCTTGTTGCTCTACATGCTTCAGAGCCACTCCTGACAGTATGGAATTACAAGTTCACCTGGGTTTATCCTGTGCCTCCAGAACGTGCTTTGTTTGTTTTTGGGTTTTTTTTTTTTTTTTTTTTTTTTTTTTTTTTTTTTTTTTGAGGCAGGGTTTCTCTGTGGGAGGCTGTCCTGGAACTTGCTCTTGTAGACCAGGCTGGCCTCAAACTCACAAAGATCCGCCTGTCTCTGCCTCCCAAGGGCTGGGACTAAAGGCGAGCGCCACCACTGCCAGACTCAGAACATGCTTCTACTTCTCCAGGTGGTCCTGATGCTGTCCAGGCTCATACAGGATTCCCACTTCCTACAGGATTTCCAGCAACCTCAGTGCCCTAAAGGGTTAAACACTGACTGCTCTAAAATCTTGCTGTTCTTGGCTGCATGTGTCACTAGCAGGCAAGGAATGTTCCTTTTGTGTCTACATGTGATTTACATAGATCCCACCTACTGTTAACATTAAGTCTCCCAAAAGTTTATACAAAAAGTATCTTTTATATAAATTAAAGGAAAACAACAAAACGGATAGAGAAAGAAAAAAGGGAGAGAAGAAGGTAAAAAGAGAGGAGTTCTAGCCTGCTCATAGAAAGCTTAGTCTTTGGATAGGCCTGACTAGCCCTGGCTCACAAATTTAGAAAAAACAAGTTCCAAACGTTCCCATAGTTCACATCCCACTCCAGGCTGCTCAACAGCAGATCTTCCAACCTTACCCAGTACAGAGAGCACACACCTGCCCCAATGCTTCCCTTCTATGATGAGAAGCCCAGCCTTACAAAGAGGTAGGGGCTCTTTCCACTTTATTCTCTCCTTCATGGCATACAGCCATACCTCCTTGAATCATTAAAGCAGCCCCACATTGCAGCATGAGAAGCCTTCACTTCAAGTCAGACCTGCTGGCAGAGGCTGAGAATTCCAGCTACTTCTGTGGCTGAGGCAGGGGGAATGAAACTTGAAGGACTGCCTAAGCTACAGAGAGAGTTCAAGGTCAGTCTTGAACTTGGTGAGTCAAACAAGTAAAAAGAGGACTGGGGTCTAATTCAGGGGTAGAGTGCTTGCTAAGTATGTGCTAGACCACAGATTCCAGTCCCAGAACTGAGGGAAGGGGGGACAACTTTATGTATATCAAAAGCCAACCCTCACTGTAAGGTATGGTGGCACATGTGTACAACCCAAGAACTCAGAAAGCTGGAGTAGAAGCAGGAGAGTTACACGTTTGAAGCAAACCCGGGACTCATAGTCTGACTTTATCTCAAAGGGAAAAAAAAAAGGAAGGAAGGAAGGGAGGGAGGGAGGGAGGGAGGGAGGGAAGGAGGGGGGGGAGAGAGAGAGAGAGAGAGAGAGAGAGAGAAAGGTAACCACCAACCGCGGCATTTAAAAAAGGTTAAATATGAAGCATAAATCTCTGGGTGTTGGTGGAATGGATTCTGGGCTACCTCAATTCTCACCCCCCCCTAGGAAGCCAGAAGCATTCCAGGATACTCTAAAAGATTTCAGACCCTTACAAGGAGTCTAGATGACTGACAGGGCTAAATTCAATCTATGTAATTCCACTTCCTATTTATTTGTTTTAGGGAAAGGCCCAGGTGATCTTGGAACTGACACTGATCTCCAGCCTCAGCTCTCCTGGGTGCTAGGCTTGCAGACACCACCACCACACCTGGTTTCCCTTGTGCTCAATCTTGGATCACACTTGTACACATTTCATCAAACTTTCTGCCTTTGAAAACAACTTTGGGCTTTTCTATGCCAGAATTTTGTGCCCACACGCTCTCCCTTAGAATACCCAAATTCTAGCTGGGCATAGTAGCGAATGCCTGTAATCCCAGCGCTTAGGAAGCTGAGGCAGGTGGATCTCTGTGAGTTTGAGGCCAGCCTGGTCTACAGAGTGAGTTCTAGGACAGCCAAGGCTACAGAGAAACCCTGGGGGAAAAAAAAAAAAAAAAAAAAAAAAAAAAGAATCCCCAACCTCTTGACTTCTTGACTACACAGACCCTGGTCTTCCCCTCTTTGCTGCAGCGTTCTCTGTTCTTCCTGACCTCAGCAAGTAAGACCAGTATTGCCCACACTCTTGAAGCCACAGGCATCAAGGTATGAGCTTCTTCCCCATTCAGCCTGTTACACTTCAGGAGACTCTGCAAACCCACGTCAGGTAGCCTGCCTGGGTCCAGCACACACATTGTCTACGTTCCCTCCCCCTCCTGTCTCCTCTGAGATTTAAACATTCCATCCTGAAGGGATGCTGCTTAGGAGGAAGGTAAACAACTCAAAACAGCTTCAAGAAGTCCCTGAAACTGACCAGATTCACTAGGCCCCTCCCTGCCAGAGTAAGCACAGTTAAGCTCCTAAAAAGACCAGAGACCAGACCAGCTTGCCTGGAAGAAGCAGAAACTATATGAGCTGCATGGAAAAAATCTAGACCAAATGAGATACCTGGAAAGGTATCTGATCAACCTGTTTGGCTGCCTGAAAAATGTGTAGTGTGCTCCAGGCTCCCAGCTTTGTGAGCTGTCACCTATGAAGTGGTCGGCTTTGGTGACACAGTTGTCTTTGAGTTACTTCTGCTCCTGTAAATAACCCTAATAAAACTCTTTGGTTCACCAAGTTGAACTTTTATGGTGTTCATACTTTGTTGTCATAGGCTCCCCTATGTGGTGTGAGTGGGCATGTGTGTTGCATCCTCCCAGGAAAAGTTTTGACACACCATAAACACTAGCTTCTTCATGGGCAACTTTAACCCTGTCCAACCTCAAGTAGACAGCTGAGCTATAACTCTGTAAAATCCGCCTCAATGGAGCACCTTCTGTGTACCCAATGCCCACACCACAGATGAGGATGCAGCATCAAAGACTAAGTCACTTGTAATTAAGGACCTTTCCTGATGTCACAGGGTAGCAGATGGCACTTCCCACACTCAAGTTCAAGTCTGGAGGGAAGCAGTGCTGCAAGATTTGTGTTGCAAGCACGGCCTTCAACAGTCCATTCATACAGCAAAAAGACATGACAGCCTCCACGAGTAAAGCAAACAACCTGAGTTCCATCCCAAAACGTAAACAAGGAAGGAAGAAACCATCTCCACAACTGCCAAACCCTAAGAGGCACTATGTCTGCTTCTTGATTCTCCCCACACCTCCCTTGCAGTCCCCCCAAAGCAAGTCACTGAAAGCCACCTGGTGACAGCACAACCAGATACCAGTGCTCCAGCTGGCCACCCTCCCCATGAGTTTGTGGGTACAGCAGCCAGACCCTCTCACAAAGTTTATGATTTAAAAACAAAAAAGGGGAGCACATACTGGTTTTCTGTGCTCAAATTACGGTGCAAGAACTAAGTGTGAACAAAGTTCTCAGACAGAGAGTGAACAGAAAATAAGCAGGTGTCCACTGCTCTGGGCAGAGGTGGGAACTAACCACAAGCACAGCGGCACTACTTGTCCACAGCTACTTCCAATCTGGGCCTATCTCCCAAGTCAGGGTTTGGGTGGAAGGAAAGAAAGGACTACACAGGAGCTCTCCTTTAGAGCCTCTTCCTACTCCCCCTCGCACCCCACTTTTGTTCCCTAAATGAGAACCCACCTGCTCTCTGACTGCAGCCCTGACACACAACCCATAGCTAAGGAAGACACATGTCCAATCATTGACCTGAGTGGGTTAACATGAAGCCTGAGCCTTCCCAGCCTCAACCCATACAGCAATGTCAAACTGGCACCTTCCTAGTCAGATATGAGAGGGGGATACCTAGGCAAAGGGACCCCATGCACCCCCAACATTAACAGTCTGCCAGCTACCTGAAGGCTCACCTTCCCCATGCAATCAGCACAAACCTTGGGTTATATAGGACCATATAAACTTGGTGAGGTAGTACATGCCTATCACCCCCAGTACTGAGAAGGTGGAGACAAGAGGATTGGAAGTTCAAGGTCACCCAGGACTCCATAGTGAGTTTGTGGTTAGTCTGAGATACCAGAGATCCTGTGTCAAAAAAAAAACCAAAAACAAAAAAAAAAAAAAAAAAACAAAAACCTAGCATCTTCCTTGTCTGAGTTTTTCATAATTTATTTTTATTTTATGTTCATTGGTGTTTTGTGTCAGTGTGGGGATGACAAATCTTAAGTGTCAGATCTTGTAAGCTTCCATGTAGGTGCTGGGAATTGAACCCCGGTCCTCTGTAAGAGAAGCCAGTGCTTTAAATGCTAAGCCATCTCTCCAGCCCTTGCTTGAATTTCTTTTTTGTTGTTGTTTGTGTAGTCTTGGCTATCCTGGAACTCACTCTGTAGATCATGCTGATCTCGAACTCACAGAAATCCGCCTGCCTCTGCCTCCCAAGTGCTGGGGCTAAAGGTGTGTGCCACCACAGCCTGGCTGATGTCTTTTTTTTTTTTTAAGATTTTATTTATTTATTATGTATACAACATCTGCCTCCATGTATATC